CAAACCCTGGTCTCTTTGTGTAGTTTTGTGTGTGTTTTGAATGTTGAGTTTCAATATGTGTTCATTTTGGTTGATTTATAGAAGTTTTGTGTCTCTTCGGGGTCATTTTGAGCCTCTTCTACCTATTTAGATACAAACCGTTGTCCTTTCGTGTCTCTTTTGGGTAGTTGTGTGTGTTGTTTGACTGTTGAATTTCAATATGTGTTAATTTTGGTCGATTTGCAGTACTTTTGTGTCTCTCAGGGGTTATTGTCTGTGTGTTTTGGCTGTTTAGTGTCAAACCCTGGTCACTATGTGTCTCTTTATAGTAGCTTTGTGTGTGTTTTGAGTGTTGAGTTTAAATTTGCACTCCTTTTGTGTCACTTTGTTGGTGTTTTTTTGTGTCTTTTGGGTTTTTAGGGTCATATTTTGGTCATTTTGTGGTTGTTTTGTGTCTCTTCCCACTGAGCCCTTGTGTACTCGTTCAGTAAAAGCAGTATTCTCCGTGATCTCACCTCTATGGGATTACTGTTGACCACCACAAATATGATGCTGCTGGTGTCTGTTGCACTGCGGACCCCAAAGTCCAGGATGTTCTCCTTCAGACTGGGGGGCAGGACCAGAGGCTTTTCAAAAAAGGCGACAAAAAGCAAACACGTTACACAGACGCATATCAGCAAGAACCAGGATGTCTCCCCTGCCTTTCAAAGACATAACTACATATATGGTCAAAACTGAAAACTGAATGTGACTTCTGTTTTTCTTCACAAGAATTTTCAACGTGGCAAAGGACAAAGCAACTAGTTCCTCATAAAGATATCAGACTGCAATTTAACTGAGACAGAAACAGCTGGAGATACATTCCATTTCTACAAGCTAACGGCTTTAAATGATCAACTCATAATCACAATTTCAAGGAACTAGTGTTATCTGTTATGCAATGTATCAGCTTGTCTGGAAAACATACATTTTAATCCTTTTTCTGCCAACTTCTCTGCTTCAGTAGCGGTCTTTTATGATGACAACAGACTTTTTAAGTGATAAAAATGAAAGTTATAAAGGTTAATATGCTCTTTGTTCAGTACTGCTTTGATGGTAGGTAAATAAGCTATATGAGTGTCCATTGTGTACCTCCAGGAAGCCTGTGTAGGCCCGGACAGGCAGGTGAAACTTGGATGCGTTTGTGATGAGCAGGATGTTGCTGTCTATGTGAATGGAGGGCCGCACAGGTCGGAAGAGCAGGGAGAAAATGTAACGAGACTCGTGTGCGGGGATCAGGATGGGGGCGCTGAAGTTCTGCGCCTGAAACAGAAAGGGAAGTCAGCAGATGTAACAATTCACACACATAAATATCAGCTGTTTGGATGCTTTAAAGCAGGGTTGCATGAGGTATTTCTTCACAGATGACGTGTTTTCTACAGCAGCAATAAACTGCTTTGGATTTGTTTTTAAAACACAAAAAAACATACATTTCAGTCTAAATGCAAGCTATATTCTCACCACAAAGCCATTCTCTATGCTCTCTTTAAAGCCACCAGACTCCATTTAAAAACAGTACATTTTATATCTGTTAGTTTGTTTGTGTTTATCAGGGTATATGCAGGAATCCTGAAGTCAGATCTAATTCCTTTTAAGACCTTTTTTAAGACCCTTCCCATACATTTTAAGACCTCATCTCCACTTGGAGTTCTAACCGGTTACCTTGGCGACACACTTTACCTCCCATTGACTATATACAGTATTGATTGTCCTTCCTCCTTATCTTCCAACCATTTGGACGCAAACTTGCATTTCCCCATAACGATGTTGTTTAACAACCGGCGTAAACGGAGCTTCGCGGCTATCAAGCAGTGAGCGTGCGATGTCCTGTTCAGATGACGTCAAATCCAAAGGGATGCCATAAATAAAGTACACAGAATCACACTACACACCTACGCAATGATTACATTCAGGCAGACTGTAGAATACAACCTCTTTGGACAATTTATATACTTATTGAAAACAAGCTACAAAATGTAATACCTTGGAAAATGCCCTTTAATACTTTTTAATAGCCTTCATTTTCGCTAAATTGATTTATCAACTTTTAATACTTTTTAAGACCCCACAGACCCCCACCGTACCTGGCAGATCTTTTAAAACCCCACACGGTCACTGAGGTCTGACAGATTACTTCTAGTGGTCCCAAAATCAATGTTAAAGCAGCGAGGAGACAGGGGCCGTTTCTCTATCTCGAGGAAACTGGCTTCCAAACCAATATTTCAAGGATACTACGTCATCGAGTGCCGCAGAAGAACTGTTCCAATCTCCAGCATACTTGGAATTCCACCGAGGCCGCGTCCTTGGTTTGGGGGTAATTTAGAGGCTGCACATGGGTAGACTTCGCGTCCTTCAAATCCCCAGAATGCTTTGCGCACGGACCAATTTCCCCAAATCTGTGGCGGAAAATGTAAGGCGGGGCCTCTCATCTGACACACACCTGCACACTTGCTCGCCTGTTCCACTCTTCGTTTTCCGAATGCCAGGAAGGATTCTTGCCTAGCTTCTGAAGGAAGTGACTCGGAAGACATGTGCTACCAAGGAAGCATCCTCGCGATTGAGAANTCCTTCCTCCTTATCTTCCAACCATTTGGACGCAAACTTGCATTTCCCCATAACGATGTTGTTTAACAACCGGCGTAAACGGACCTTCGCGCGCCATCATTGATGGCGCGCGAAGGTCCGTTTACGCCGGTTGTTAAACAACATCGTTATGGGGAAATGCAAGTTTGCGTCCAAATGGTTGGAAGATAAGGAGGAAGGACAATCAATACTGTATATAGTCAATGGGAGGTAAAGTGTGTCGCCAATGTAACCGGTTAAAACTCGTCTTAAAAGGAATTACATTTGACTTCAGGATTCCTGTGTATATACCCTGAATCAGTACCACATTGTTTTGTCACATTACAAATCTAGTCAATTTATAAAAAGCTGTATTTCTTTATGACTATTGTCAGAGCTTTCTAAATGAGAGTGAATTAGCATTTTAAAGCCAATCCCCTTGATTATGTAAACATTCATTACAAATAATATTTGGGGTAACATCGGTTGGGATATTTATACAGGTTGCTAATGCCTTAAAATAACTAACTGAGGTTATGTAAATGTTATATAGTGTCTATGCTGAAAGTGATCTTTACATATGTATTTTGAATGAAAACAGACATATACTGTTGTAAACCCAACCACACCGAGCCTAGCTGTTGAAACTTGTTCTGGCATGTGAACTACAGTAACTGTTAACACATCCCAGACTGATGGGTGAGAAACATTTACAGAAATGTTAGTTCAGCTACTTTGGTTTCACAAAACATCAACAGTGTTTTTTTTAACAATGTTAGCAATGTTTTATTTTACTACATTCTCTGCTTATGTTTAACTTCCAAACCTCATCCTTTTCCCCTCTGAAACCTTTCAAAGATCACTTTTTCCATATCCATGCATCAATAAATTATAACAGTAGATAGTGTCTATTATAATAGTTCGTATTGTCCAAGATGTCTATTATAAGGAAACTTAATTATGAGTTGGGTTGTATGGAAATCATTTTGATATAGTTCAAATAAAATGTAACATTGAAAGGTGATTATAGCAATTTTATTTTATAGCATTTTCATGATAATGTTACAGCCAATTTCCTGGAATGTAACAATATTACTGACATTTGAATTAGTCATTTATTACCAACTCACTGTGGAGAAATGAACTTCATGAATGGAACGCTTTACACAAAGGCTCCAAATGTTCCTGCATTTATTATTATATATCCGTCAAAGTTTGAAATTAATGTATCGTTTTTGAACATTATATTTAACAAATTGCATACATAAAATAGTAAATGTGGCATTACATTTAAGGGTTGAAATGTTATTATAGCAACAGGGTGGGCTTTGAATCACCCTGAAGGGTTACTTTTCGTCTCCTCGACACGGCTACTTGCTAAATAAATCAATATTTTGACACATCATTTAGTTTTATTCTGATTTATTTTAATTAAAATTAATCGTTTGGCTTCCATTATTAAAAACATCTGGAGCTGCAGCAATAACAACGTAACTTAAAATGACGGCAGCACGTGTTAAGGTTTTCTGGAGCTGTCAAAGTCTCTTCACATTTTCTTTTCCATTAACCAGTCTTTGAACACTGCCAGAGCCCATACTGTGGGTGCTTCTCAATGTCGAGTAAAGCTGCTCCAGAGCCACTATTTCAAGCATACTACGCCATCGAGTGCTGCCGAAGGAGTGTTCCATTGTCCAGCATACTTGGAATTCTACCGAGCCCGGCGTACTTAGTAGCGAGAAATTTCGAGGCTGCACATGTGTTGACTCAGCGGTCTTAAAATCCCCACAATGCTTTGCGCACGGACCAATTTCCCCAAATCTGTGGCGGAAAATGTAAGATGGGGCCTCTCATATGACGCACACTTGCTCGCCTGTTCCACTCTTCGTTTTCCGAATGCCAGGAAGGATTCTTGCCTCGCTTCTGAAGCAAGATGCTCGAAAAACATGTGCTACCAAGCAAGCGTACTCGACATTGAGAAACACCCCGTGTTCCTGTTAGTGTTTACTTCCTTTTAGTGTTTACTTCCTGTTTGTCTTCCGTCTGTCTTATTTGTTCATCTTTTAACTTCTCTCCTTCTCTTGTTTTCTTGTTGTCTATTCCTTTCTTTATTGGGGAGTGTTTAGCCATCATGAACCAACAGTTTTGTGCTCTCTATAAATAATACGTATTCCATATTGTTTTCTAATGTAAACTAATTTGATTGTTTTGGCAACATTTGACGTTAAATTGACCAGATTTCTTTCCTCGTATTGATTTGGCTGTAAATAGTCTTTGATCAGAGTGTCCTTAACTGCTGAATCTCCAGGTCATCCAATCAGAATCCAGTATTCAACTAAGCCATGATATATATTAAATGAAATGGGGGAAGTTCTGATGCTGCTGATTCATATCATGGAAGCTTGTTTGTGCGTGTTGAAAACATGATGTGCAGCTGTTGTGGGAAAGACGCAAAAGTGGGGACGTCAAATACATTTATACATGTTACAGCAGACAGTGGAGTGGAAAGGGCGTTAACACAGTCTTCTTTGTCCCTGTCTCTTCTGCCCAGTTTGGATTATTTATGAGCAGGTGATGATTGCAGCGCTGGACTGCAGTCGGGATGACTTGGCTCTGGTGAGTTTTTACCGCTCCTTCCTCACAGCCATTCCCTGCTTAGCAGCACCCCCTCTGCCAAATGTGAAAATGTGATTTTTTATTTGGCCAAATGGTATTAGTCTGTACTTTGGAAAAACAATTTGCTCAGTTGGAATCGGAGGGTGTAGCAAATGAGCGGAGAAGCATGCTTCAAGTGTTGGCCATGATCCCTTATGGAGTTAAACAGCTTTTTCCCCCCCTGAGGATTTATTTGCCATCCTTGGGCTTAATTTGATGTTTCTGACTTATTCATAACTCTTAAAATCCACATAAAAAGACCAGATCATGATTATTGAAATGGTTAATCTCCAATCAGTATGAATGTAGCGACTCCCTTGGCAGAAAGAGTGACTCATTGCGTAGAGAAAAGGCAGAACTCTTTGGAGTCTTTGGAAATAGTTGTCTGTTGGCTATCCTTGAAGCCCCGCTGCCAGACAAAAAAAAAGTAAAGGAGCAGCTGATGGATAGCGTTTCCATATCAGGTCATACTTTCATCTCATCAAGGATAATGCTGAATGCGATTACAACCATTCCTCAGCTCTTTCACTGCGGTGCAAACCCTCTGTTTAAAGGAGAACATGGGAGCATCCTTATTCCCCTTTTTATTGTACCGAGCGTGGTTGCCTAAATGGTTAACATACTGTAGTAACAGCAGATTCCCGCATCTAATTGGCCTTTTTAACAGTGTGTTTTTAAGGGTGTTTGTTTAGCTGAAACATAGGCAACATTTTCAAGGCAGGTGGTTTGTATCTTTAGCGTGTGTGAGAGCGTAACATAAGATTAAGTAACAGCCAACTATAATTGGTCTTTTTCTCTTTCCTTTGCCCACATCTTTGCAGACCTGTCTACAGGAACTGAGGAAGCAGTTTCCAGATAGCCACAGAGTGAAGCGATTATCGGGCATGAGGCTGGAAGCTTTGGAAAGGTAAGCACCGGGCACCAAACGCTCCGCAGGCGCTGCTATGTGTTGTATGTGTCTGGGAGGCTCGGGGGCGAGAAACTCTTCCTTAGTGTTGTACAATAGTCCGGGTGTGTGTAAGTACAGTATATGCGTGTGTATGAGGGGTAAGTTGTGTTTATGTTGGATCACCCAGCATTCCTTTTTGGAGCATAACAGAATGGAGAAAGAACGGGTTCAGCGCTGGGTAGTGCTGTGGCCCTTTTAGCCTGAGTTAGGGATTCCCGGGAAGGAAGTGGTCGGATCCCAATGTTATTCTGGGGGTCCCTCAATTTTCTCTGCTTTCTATTTCTCCGTTGTTTCCTTATTGTGTTAACCTCATCCCTCTCTTCTTGCCTATTTTCATTCTTTCTTTTCCTGTCCTGTTTTGATCCCTTTACTGCGAGTGTGTGTGGGCCCTGTAAATATTGACATGTCACCACAAACTCCACTTCAACTCCCTCCAATGATTTATTTGTGAATCTACAGTTTATAAAAAAAAAAAAAGAGTAAGCATGAGCAAATAGGATAAACAAGGGGTATTTTAGTCTGTACTGAGGCTGAAGTAAGGGTAATTCAATCTGTTTACTACCTCGCTCCTACGCGGATCGCCGCTGCTGGTTTATTGGTTATGTCGGAGTTTATGTGATAATTGAGAACGATTGCTTCGGCACTGTCAGATTAAATAAACGGCACCTCGGGGTCTAATTGGCAGTAGACAGAGCTACATTCCAATAACACAGCTTCAAACAGCGCGTCCCTTCCCCTCCACACACACGGTTCCTAAAGAAATAAAGCAAATCAAAGAGGCTCGTGAGCGGTTGCCCGGTGCCATCTGAAATCTCCCAACGTGTGGCTGAGTAATAAAGTGAATGTGAGGGAAGCAGTGGCGCTGGAAGTGGGCCTTCTCCGCGCTAATGGGAACCAGAGTCGCTTCTGTCTGTTGCAGGCTGTGGGCGGGACACTTCTGATCACTGAGCCCTGCCTTTGGCTGCTAAAACGTTAGTGTTGCAGATTGTCCCGAGCAGAAGAAAAACCCCTTTCTAAAATCATCCTTCAGCGCCTGATTTGACATGACAAGTGAAGTGCACATACCTCCTTTTCCCAGATTTCTTTACCGTATGATTTGATATTTACAGCTCATAAATTTCCTCTTTAAACAGAATCATGTGGGCTCAATCCAGCAGTTTAAGGCGTGCCATATTGTGTGTGTGTGTGTGTGTGTGTGTGTGTGTGTGTGTGTGTGTGTGTGTGTGTGTGTGTGTGTGTGTGTGTGTGTGTGTGTGTGTGTTGTGTGTGTGTGTGTGTGTGTGTGTGTGTGTGTGTGGTGTGTGGTGTGTGTGTGTGTTGCTGTGTGTGTGTGTGTGTGTGTGTGTTGTGTGTGTGTGTGGTGTGTGTGTGGTGTGTGTCTGTATGTGTGTGCCTGTATTTGTGGGTGTGTGTGTGGGGGAGAGAGAGTGTGTGTGTGTGTGTGTGTGTGTGTGTGTGTGTGAGAGAGATGGGCCAAGAGACGGACAACTGAGTCGACAAGTCGGCTGCAGATCTGGACCCATGTAAAAGCAGCAATTTAATTTTGTTTAAAGGTGAATCAAACTGGATACAATCAAATTAAAATACAATCTTCAAAACGGTGCTTTGTTAGTATTGATTTCATGACTCATTGTGAAGTGATACACGCCTCTCTCAATTTCGGGCCGTGTGACCAGCAACCTAAACGTTAAATGTGTGTTTATGTTTTCCTTTAGATCACTGCTGATTTCTGCACAGCCTCAATGTAATCACAGGAACCTGCCATGTTGTATACAGAAACTTGATTACCTTGAACTGTCTTTGATTTCCCCCACCACCTAATTTTATCCGACTTCGGGACTGGGATTGGTTAAAAAAAAAAAATGTGTGTTCTCTCTCTCAAGATACGACGAGGCCAGCAAGCATTACGATGCCATTCTCCAAGACGACCCCACCAACACGGTAAGAAAAGCAGAGAAAGAAAGGGAAAAGTCCCGCAGCTTAGCAGTTCTCCTTTGCATCACTTTGTGGTCTCAGCTTTTTTGGAAGGCTTTAAATCTGCAGAGGCACTTTGGTGTTAGCAGTGTGAGTTTGCAAAGTTAAACTCCCCGTGGCCTCTCTGACCTCAACCACAGCGCTCATCAGCCTTTCGCCCGAAGGAGGGGGCTGGCTGGGTGTGGGTGTGGGTGTGTGTGAGTGTGGGTGTGTGGGGGTGATTCATGATCTTAGTCAGTGGCAGACATGTTTGGTGGAAGTAAAGCGTAAATAAAGGTCTCGCCTTTGAAGATGGTGATTTACTGGACCGTCAGACCCCCACCCTGCGGCCTGTCCCACCTTCTCTATTGCCGGCTACTGGCTTCAGGTGCAAGGTCTGCTGTGTGGGGATGCCCCGGTGAGGACATTTCCCAACAGCTTACTAAACTTGTGGCAACACCGATAGGACCGAATACACCTGACATTTTACAAGAAAATAGTTTTTGATGCTTAAACGTTGAATGGCCGTGTATCTTCTTGCCTCTGGGGTCAAGCTTTCACTGCAGATCTTTCAACATTGTCTTGTCTGCCTCCTTTATTATTTGCTTAAACATTTTTTTTTTGTAGGTTTGAATGTGGCATCATTTGTTATTACTTGCATCTCTCAAGCCAGAGAGTAGGCGGGGCTTATCTCCATGTAGATACCAAGATGTTTCATCGGCCTGTTTCTTGCTACTCTGTGCTGCTGTACAGAGAAGACAATATCAGTTTATAAGTGTAGTTCTGTAATCTGGCTATGTATTGATCAGTGTCTCACAAATAAGAGTTTGTTTTTTTCATTTTAGGAACAGGTTTCAAAATAAAATTCCATAATCTTATACACATTTTTTTCTCTGTTATCATGCTATTATTTGCCACACGCCGGCTATTCACTGCTGCTTACTACCGAATATCCGGAGCCCGAAAAATGATATTCGGGACAGCCCTACTGCAGAAACAGACTCTTATTCTTCGGATGCCATGTGAAGATTATTCACACATTGCTGTGGGATGTTTGCAAGTGATATTGGATATTGGCAGCCTTTTAGCGTCTGATTTCATTGGCTCAACTGGGACATTAGTTATACTTTAATTTTAAGAGTCGTTGGGTCACAGGTAGGGCTGCACGATATTGAAAAAAAATGACATTGCGATATTTTCTTCCCCTGCGATATATATTGCGTTTTTTTTAAACTATATTTAACCGGATGAAGGATTTTAGTCACGGACGTCTGGATCTTAACATCATACCTTAAGTCATGATCTAACATGTCATGATAATGCATGTTGCTTACCCTCAAATAAGGGGATTCATCTGTGAATGAAGAAGAGAAGAACCTTTTTGTATCCAAAATAGTTCCAGATGGCAGATGTTGCTTTTCTTTTTGGAAGTAAATCTTAATTCTTGCCGGTATTGTCCTCCTGTCCCCGCTCATTTTTTACCGGTGTTTTGATGGTCTGCAAACTAGCGGGCGGGGCCTGCTGTGATCTGATCAAGAATGATTGTGATTGGTGGCTTGCTGTGCATGCAGAGCCTGCATGTCACTCACTCAAGTACCCCAGACATGAGAGCCGCGCAAGTTTTCCTTTTGTAGCAAGCAGCAAAATAACGTGTTTGAGTTAATGTACCTACTTAATATCGCACGTTCTAAAAAAAGAAAAATGAATTTTTTTTATTATTATAAAAAATTAATAAAATCGCACGTCCCTGCAATATGAATATCGTGCATGCCCATATCGCGGTTATCGCCATGACACGATGTATCGTTCAGCCCTAGTCACAGGATACACTTATTTTTAAAAGTCAATCCACAGGCTGAATTTCACACCAAAAGTTGGCATATGTTTTCTAAAATATATCAGCTCTGAGGGACAGAAGTACAACTAGAACTTGATAGCATCCAGTAAATAGGCTCAATAAAAAATGTATTAAGCTGGACTAGCTCAGTGGTAGGGTATGGCTGCCCGCCCATGTATAGAGGCTCAGTCCCTACAGCCAAGTACGCACGTTCAACTTGGACCTGCAGAATGTATAGGCATGCCATCTCCCTCTTTCAACGTGATATCTCTCAATAAAGGCAATATTACCCAAAAAATATATTTTAAAAGAAGAAGATTCAATTGCCTAAAACAAATGCCACAGATCAATAAGTCGGAGTCTATTGTCCAAATGTATGCTGGAGTTTTGATCCGCGGTAGCTCTGACAAGAAAATAACACTGGGACTGTTTCAGTGAATACTAATGAAAATGTTTTGTCCAAGTCACGCTCTTTAACACAAGTTTGAGTTTAAATCTGCAGATTCCTTGTAACAAAGGAAAGTCATGTTAAGAGTTATGTTCCATCAAAGTTATATCAGCAACAAATTGCTTTGCACTTTGCCAGTGTTTGGACAATGGGAGTTGTAGTTTCAATGAATCCCAGGGCACCTCCCCAAACATGGCACAGATCCTGTGGGGATCCCAGGGACATCCTCGGAAAGGGACTGGTCCGTTTCCTGGTCTCTGCATGCTGAATTCTGCCACCCTAGCGAGGCCAGGCTGTCACTCAAACCCGGGGCCGGGAATGGAACAAACCGACAAATAGGTCTTCTGTCCCTGGGATGTTAACCTTAAACCTTTTTCCCACATTCCTCGTCATGAATGACTTGGGTGTAGTACCCTAGGGTGGAGCGTTTGTTATGATGGCATAGTTTAGGGTCACCTTTCTCAGATGTTATCTCTTCCCTTTATGTTCTCCAACATGCTCTTAAAAGCCGGGCAGGGCCTGAGAAATGGCGGAAAATTGGCCACCACAAGGAAGACTTGCGAAGCAACCCAGCATGCGAGGCAGAGATTGGAAACTGAGCTGTTGTAATTACAGGCTGTGGAATAGATGTGGTACCCATTAACCAAAATGGTTGAATCAACAAAAATTGCTCACGGTTTTTTTTGCCAGCGAAGGGTCCAAAAAAAATTTCAAACTCTTAGCCCTTCCATTGCCTGCTATGTTCCAATGCCTACAGCAATGATCTGGCAAAATTATTGTCTGCGTGCGTAAATGCATTTTTCTCTGCCTTTTCTATTTCTAATTGTGATAAAAAAAATAGTTTAAGCCCACACAATTTGCATACAAGCATTCAAAATGTTCCCATAATTTTTGGTGTTTGCATTCAATTTCAATTCCATTTTACCCTAATTGTTTAATATGGACAAGCTAGTATTTCTTAAATAAGCCACTGAGGTCACAAAGAGGGCCCTTGAGGTTGACCCGCAATAATAAGCAATTACAGATTCATTGAAGGACGAGATTGTATTTGTTTAGGTCAGGTCATAAGAAATATAAAGCCCCAATTACATTTTCTTTGACCACATGAATGTGAAATGTAATCACAAAACGAATTGAGTTTGACATAAAGATAATAAAATTACATGTTTTGCGAGTGATTATAATTGAAAATACACGCCTCCATGTGCAGATGTAAAAAAAAACCCATAAAAATATATTTTTAGGGAGCTGTCTTTCACTCTCTTACCTCCCATTTTTTTCTTCCATTAAATTGCTAGTATATACAGTGCGAGGTGTGCCACCCTTGCTGTGATGTTTCTTATTATAAAGGGAGGTTGCGGTAGGTCGTAGTAAGAGCCAGGGGTGATGTAAATAATCCAGTCCTCACTCCCAAAGTCTCCTCGGAGCGCTAATTAAAAAAGAATCACGATAACAGAGGGTTCAGACCCACTGCCAGGTTTTTCTGGATCATTAGTTAGAGAAAGGAGGAGAGAGAGGAGTGGTTTGGAATTGCTTCTCGTTTAATAAAGTGCCGTGTGACTCTCCGGGCTACCAACTTCCATATGTTCCTTTGAGCCCCAAGTGGTGCTTTATCTGGGAAGGAAAGGGGAAAAAAAGCTGGGAGAAGAAAGAGGTGGGCGTGGTGACAAGTGCAAAAATCCACTTTCAACATCGCTGTAAAAAAAATCTGCTACCCTTTTTCGGTATTGAATGAGGATAAATCGCCATGCTTGTAATTTAGTCTGAAGTCAGTATAACTTCCTGAATTCCACATAAAAACAATTTCCAGTGAAAGGGACTGAATGTAAAAAGGTGTGTTTTATAGTTTGAAGACATTAAAAATAAACTAAAGGTTGACGTGTTGCTTCATATTTTCCCCCTAAATATGCCTTTAGAACTTCCTGATATTAAAAATACACAAGGTTTTGAAACATCAGAAACAGGTTTATCGCCAAGTAGGTTTACACATACAAGGAATTTGATTGGTGTATGGTGCATAACTAAGACACACAGACAGAAATTGTAAAATAATGAACTATCTATAACTATATACAATTTAATATAGAGTACTTACAAGAAATATAACATACACAAACAAGTAAAATACTCCAAAAAAATCCATCCCATTGATGGATAAGTGGATTTGTTCTGATGGCAGTGTCAGGCCCAAATGTACAGCCCCCTTAGACATGACTCATACACAGCCCTCAATAGCTTTGGTTAGGAGCGCAGGAGAGGAAGCCCTACTCAATCAAGTGCCAGCCCATAAATAAAATAGGCTGTGGCAGGGCAGTGCGCTTCTAATGGAGCAGCAGCCTCCTGTTAAGGTTTTCACTTGCTACCAAAAAGAACTCTGAGAGGGAAAAGGAAAGGGGGCATTTGGAAAAGTCGCTGCCGCAGGAGTAATACTTTCTAATTCAGATTGATGAGAATCTAATCCACCTTATAAGGTCATTCCAACATCAGAACCAAGCGGAAAGCAATTTTCAGCTGATGTCAGTTGGGATGGTGCAGCGCTCGATGCGTGCCGTGCCGGCAAGGAAGACAGCCGTTGGGGTTTGGTGGAGTGTGCCATTTTCCCCACTTGGTTATGGGATGACTCACCACTTTATCTCAGCCACGGAGTTCATTCCAACTCCCAAACATGGACTTATAATGCATATGTCCGTCTTCTGTTGGACCTGGCCACTAACTGTCTATCCATATGTCTTCAGAATCAGAATTAGAACCTATTTCTGGGCCTGCAGTGGATAAATTACTGCCGTTACAGCAGCATGAGATCAGTGCAGATGAAAGACAAGAGTA